TGAGTTGTCAGTAAAGGAAAAAGACAGCCTTTAAATACATGTTTTCCCAACATAAATAAATATAATAAAAATACATGTAATAATATACATATAATCTTAGTGGTTCTCTCGGAAGATTATATGCATGTAATTAATAAAAAGAAAAATAAAATAAAATAAGCTATTATATATATTTAATACTTTTAATTTGAGAGAATAAATGATGTTTTTGAATAATCTATGGGTCAATAGTGCAGTGGTTAGTACTCTATAGGTCAGATTGCAAGATGCAAGTTCAGATTCTTCAGGGGCAGTGCCTGAAGTTTGATAGAACTTATATCCATTGGCCTAATTAAATTCTGACATTTCTGCATATAGCCACATGACAATTAGAGAGGACTGAATAACATATGTGATATGGTCTATATAAAGATTGTGATCTGAAAATCAAGATCTGAAATTGGCTAGGATTATCCTGACTTGATTGCGTTATCCCTAGTGGTAAGTTAGGAAATAGTAATAAGAAAAGTAGATCTAATCGATCGGTAGGGTACTGCTGACTATCACATGCTAGGCTATAAGGATAGCCTTAGTCGGTACTATTGGGAGGCTTTGGTAGAAGGAGAAATCTATTGACCACTCCGAAGGATCAAAAACTGGATCCAGGATAAAGAAAATTCGACACCTAATAACCAGCCTACTCTTAATAAAAATTGTGCTAGGAATAATCAAGAAGAAATAGCACAGTTTCCTGAAAAAGTAGTGCTTATATATATAGTATAATCAATATAACTAGCCATATATAGATAGATACCAATAAATAGTTGATATATATAGTGCTTATTTAATATACACATAGTATAAAGAAGTAGTCATATGTATAGATAAACAGGAGGTATGAATGAAATATACTGTATAGTTACTGAGTAAACTTGCGGAGTTTTCAGGGAATAGCTTCAAGAGTTGAATGTAACATAAATATATTAAATAGAAACTATGGGTCTGCTTAGACATTTTTAGATATCACTCTTTTCTTTTTTTCAACCTATCCTTTTGTAGTTTCCTGTATTCCAGTGGCTTGATCAGACATACGGCAGTGACAATCTACTGGCAATAATGCAGTGGACTAGGAGAGTCTTTACCCAAAGACACTGCAGAGTAAAATATTATCCCCAAGGCTGAACTTAGAGGCTTTTATGCTTACAATGAGTTAGTTAGATTAGAATAATAGTTTATCTGTAGTATGTATCATGCTGCTCAAATGAAAATGTACTTTTGTTTTCAATTGATTAATAAACTAACAATCTAGCCTGACTACAGGTATTAAAAAAAAAATAATAATAAATGATGTTTTTGACAAAATTGATATTCAAAAATAAAGTTCTAATGAATTTTTAATTTAGATTCATTGTTTATTAATTATTAAAATATTAAATCTAAATTAATATAAAGATCAATAAATAATTATCAAATTATTAATCTAACAATATTTTATTTTAATAATCAAGAAATTAAAATATTAAATAATTAATTAAATATTAACTTAATTTCTAAATTAGATTAGTTTTTAGCTATTAAATTATATCAATTTTTAAATAATATATATAATATTTATGAATCAATTATCAATGGATTTGAATATTTTTCAATTAAACTTTTGTATTTAAAAAAATCAAATTTAAAGATATCTTTAAAATATTAAATCTATTAATCAAATATTATAAAATATTTTATAAAACTATAGACTTTTAGAAATTATTTATAAAAAATGATAAAAATTTGATAATTATTTAAAATAAAATAAATCAATATAATAAATATTAAATTGAATGTAAAATATTTGATTTTATTATATTTTTATAAAATATTATGAGCTTATTTATATTAGCTTGATAATAGAAATATTAATTTATCTGAGTCAAATTTAAATTTTTTTGATATATTTGATAAACTTTTCAAATAATGTTATTAAATATTGATTGGTTTTTATTTAATAGTATAAATCTATTAATTCAATAAAAAATAGATTTTATTTCAAATATGAAAATGATATAAATATTGAATTGTAAAGTTATGAATTTTATCAAATTAGATATGAATATATAATTTCTATTTATAATATTTTAATTAATTTATTTTCTTCAGATATAGAATCATAAATATTTAATTTTAGTTTCTTTAAATAATAAATATAATATATAATCAAAAATTTAACAAATATATAAATTTTGAAGATGTTAAAATATAAAATAATGATTTTTTAAAAAATTTTTTAATAAAAAATATAATAAAAATAATATAAGTTATATAGTAAATAATGTCAAAATATATAGTAAAAATTGATTAATAATTTATTTATATATTAATTTGTCAAATTATTTATTTTTTTTTTTTGATAAATATTATATAAGTGAAATTAATGTATATCAAATAAATATTTTTTGACTAGTGTAATTCAAATGTTATAAATAGTAATATAAAATATTAAAAAAAATTTTTTAATAATATTATATTTAAAGCTTTTGTTTATATCAAAAGATTCTTTTTTATTTGTTTTAAATATTTAAAAATAATTTTTGAAAGGTAACTACTATATTTTTAATAAGTTTCTTTTTAGTTTGATATGATTATAATATATTATAGACTTGAAAAAATTTATATTTAGTATATTTATTTAATACTTTATATTTTTTTATCCTATTGTTATTATATAACTTTTATATTTACATCAATATATTACTTATTTATAAATATATATTGTATATATAATGCAATATATTGTACTACAAAAAAAAATTAGATTGCTTTGATAACCAATAAGTGTAATATTATTTTATTATTTTTTTAACCTTTAAATTAATTTTTTGGAAATTATATGCATTTAAAATTTTATTTTGATTAAACAATTGTTTACTAAATTATAATAAAAAATAAATGTCAAAATTTTGTTTCAAACTGTATATTTTAGAAATTTCTGGATTTTAAAAAAAGGACTATCAAAAGATAAGTTAATTTTATGTTGTGAATTAGTCTTAATATCCTGGTTTTTAATTATATACCATCGAGATCAGAATGTGGGATATTATTATTATCATTAATCTTTATTTAATTCGATTGAGCAATTTAAAATAACTTCAATTGATTTTTATTTTATTTTAATTAAATTTTCTATTGTTCTTGTATTTATCGATGACTCTAAAATCGTAATTCATATTTTGAACATTTTTCATCATTAAAATTATTCAATACAACTTTGTAATATGAATTTTTTCAGTTCAAAAGAAAAATATCAAATTGATTTTATCCATCGTTTACAAGCGATTGGATGATCTAATATTTTGGGTGTAGAAACAATTATGCACTTTGCAAAAATAAAAGAAAACAAGATATACTGTGTATGAAATTTATGCTATGTTGCACATTTCAACAATTTTACCATTTATATTACGTATTCACATAATCAAATAGCACAGATTTCAATCAGGCGACGATGTTGTGCCCTTGTGCTTTAACTTAATTGTTTCCACCGACATTGGAAATCTTAGGCATGCAGCTGTTGATCATTTTAAGCGATCTTACTAAAAAAATCGAACTTAGTAACATTTGAAAGTATGAAGTTGACGCCTTTATTTGTAACTTGGACATCGACTTCTCCGTTGTCCCATTCTTTCAGGAGCATTTCTCATTTAGAACTGCCGACAACTAAATAGTTAATGATGATGAAATTAATTTTGACCATCGCACTTTTCGTGTCTATAACGTTCGCCACGCCTTATTCCTTCAGTGGACATAGGAATAAGATAGCCCCTCTGTTTTCCCCCGGTGACAAGAATGTTGTTCCCGGGCAGTACATCGTGGTCTTCAAGGAACATGTCGCATCCACAACAATCGATGATCATATTTTTCACGTCAATAACTTAATCGTGAAGGGAGCTAGTACTCAAGAAAATCATGGTATTCGACGAAGATTCAATATTGAAAAACTAAAAGGATATTCCGGCAGATTTTCCTATGATATCTTGAATATCATCAGGCATTTGGACGAGGTAACGTATGGTACGGCGGCCATCTTGAATGCTAATGATCCTTCCTGCTCATGCATCATTATAAAAATAACATACATCATAGGTAGAGTATGTTGAACAAGATCAATATGTGTTTGCTTCCGAGACTCAGGAATACGCCCCTTGGGGTATTTCTCGTATCTCGCATCGCTACAATTGGGAGGAGGGACACAAAGACACCTACCATTACGAATACGACTCCGGCGAGGGAGTGAATGTTTATGTCATTGACACCGGTGTGAGGATTGATCACATCGAGTTTGACGGACGTGCCTCATGGGGTGGGTCCTTCTCTGAGAGCGACCCGACCGAGTTAGACGGCGATGGTCATGGTATGAAGGAATTGGTATTTTTAATGCGCCTTCTCTGCTAGTATTTATTTACGTTTTGATCGCTCAGGTACCCATGTCGCCGGTATTATCGCCGGAAGACATGTTGGTGTTGCCAAGGACGCGAAGATTGTGGCCGTTAAGGTTTTGGATTCCAACGGTATGGGAACCTGGTCGGATGTCATTCTCGGTATAGATTATGTTGTCACTAGGCATAATGAACAGGTCGAAGAGTTAAAATCCAATTTCACCGGCTCTGTCATAAACATGAGTTTGGGAGGCGGGTATAGTCCGGCTGTAAATTTTGCCACTACCGAGGTATAATGATATTCCGTTTTCATTAGTATTTACCGAGTGTTTTTGATGAAATCAAGTTCACTATTTGATTATGAGTTAGGCATATAGAGCTGGCATTTGTGTTGTCGTGGCCGCTGGTAACGAACGTACAGATGCGTGCGGTTCCTCACCCGCTTCCGCCGAAGGTGCCATCACTGTTGGAGCAAGCACAGTTGACGATTATTTCGCCTGGTTTTCCAACTATGGACCCTGCGTTGACGTCTTTGCGCCCGTGAGTATCTATCCATCATCTTTTTTTTTTTTTCCGAACCCCCATACGTTGAAACATGTTTCCGGATATTTGACTGAATTTTTCGTAAATCTTCATCAGGGTCTTGAAATAAAATCCTCGTGGAACACGTTGCCCAATTCCTATATTCTCCTCTCAGGAACCTCGATGGCGTCTCCTCATGTGGCAGGTTTGAGCGCATACTTCCTGTCATCTTACCCCGGATCATCACCAAAATTTATTAAGGAGCTCATTGTTGGCTGGGCTACACTCGACGTTCTGAAAGACATTCCAAAATCCAGTGCTAATCTGTTAGCATACAATCATATTTGTCATCATAAGGATGAATGTTCAGAGTCTGATGATGAGTCTAAGTTTAGAAATCAACAGTATTTGAACAAGTTTATGTGAAATCTGCTAGATATAGTTGATTATTTAATAACGCAAGTATACGATAAGGACAAATAACCAAATGATCGACTGTGATAAAGTTTTGTTTTGTTTAATCTTGAATGAGTTTTCCACGAAAATAATTTGCATGTTCCGTCATGCAATAACATTACATACTGCAAGTTTGAAACAAACAAACAGAAATCCAAACAGCTAAATAAATTATTTCAATGTCACTAAATTATACGTTATAATTCCGCCTACCATCAATAAACTCACCACGCTTGCCAACCATGCTGCCGCCAAACCAATACTCTTTCCTTCATCTTCTTCCTTGATTCCATCCTTTTTCTCTTCGCCCTTGCGTTCTTCCTTTTTTTTTTTCCTCTCGCAACACGCAAAAGCTCTAAATGATTTTGACACAGAAGCTACCTCCTCATCGGTATTTATAGAATAGACCTTCGTCATAGGCGATATCGGCATTTCGGGTGGGTAGGCGTCTGCACAAAGAGCCAAACATGAGCATTAGAAAAGTATATCGTACACCATGCCGCATTAAACCGGGCTCACCTCGTCTTTGACTTAGAATGTATAACCAGAAAGGTATGATGAAATTTGAACTACATATGAAGATTATTGTGGTCCAATTGGTAAACAGGCTCAACCAGTGGCCAGTTTGAAGCGGAATTACCAGGATCCAGGGAAGGAGGGAAACGAGTATCGACGAACTTTCTGAAGGTAATGAAACGAAAGATTGTTAAATAGAAAAAAAGGGGAACAACGCACCTCCCCAGCTATCTAACAATACTTGCCATACTCACCCGTTTTACACAATCCGGATCTCATCAAGTTGTACCTGAGCACGATAGCATATACGGGTATGCTAAATAGCAGTAAAAACGGGAACATATAAGTTGCCACCTCAGCGATGCCATTCTGCAGCTCAACCTTGCGAATGATCGCAATAATACTGGTGGAGGTTTCGATCTGGTAGGATGCAGCGCCTAAAATGCCCAGCGAGAGATAGAAGGTGGTGGTGATAAGGACAACCGTCCAGATTAGTCTCTTTATGGAGACATCTCTCTTCTGAGAATTTGTTGATGCGCGTGTGAACGCAAGCATAAATTACTGAACTATGATCACTGAAAAAAAAAAAAAAAAAAAAAAAAAAAAAAAAAATACGAACCAACTCACTGACAACACTTGGCACCGAGGTGATGAAAGCATAATTAAACAACACGCCGCCCACCACTTGGCTTTGATCTTTTCCGATGAACGGTATTCTACTCGGATCCAATCCGTGATGTATGGTGGTTATGATCCATGCTGTCACGATAAACAGCAAAACGAAAAACGATACTAAAAAATTTTTTTATAATAATGATGATGATGATGATAATAGCGGTACCAATATTTGAAAAATAGGCAATTTACATACCAATTTGTATTCTGGAATTGTTGGAGAGGTTCATCCATGTCATTGGAATTACGATGATTAATGTTACCTAAAGAGAACGAATCAACGAGTCAAGAATGTAATCATGAATTTTCATTTGGATTCGTTTATCTTAACATTTTTTTTCTTACCACGAGTCCAGCAGTCATAATCATCCACCTGTCACCATAAGGGCTATTCTCACTGCCCAAACTTTGCGTACAAACCTGTCCCAGATCGGGATAGATGCCAATCCCGCACGAGGTGCCCAACGAAATAACGAATAAACTGTCTAACGACTGTGCGGAAAGCACGAGGGAGGCGATTATTATTGATTCTAGGGATGCATAGAGGAATACATGGACCAGGGATCGGAAGAATTTGCTTGATATCAGGACCTGCGAGAGTTTGGTGTATTCTATTTTGTACTGGTTGGTTTGAACGAAGATAGATAAAAATTGAGGAACGGGTGGGAGAAGAAGAGGGGAGTTTTAAAAAAGAGAGAATACGAACCGAGAATCCTTCGTTTCCTGGTATCGAGCCTATTGACTCGCATAATAATAACGCCGATGACGTAGACAGCAGTACTGCCATTGCGAACATCGTCAATGACCTTTAAATGTTCAAATCACCAAGATTTAAATGTTAAAGAAGATTATGTTAGAGTGAAATATCGATGTAGCGTGCTTACGTCAAGAGCCCAGCAGTCTGGAACACCGATGGTACTACCAAGTGAAACGGTATCAGTAATTACCACCAGGCATCCTTCTTTTCTTTGACCACATGGGTTGAACTTACTTGTTACGAGCCCTGGACCAATCATCGAGGATGTCAACACGGCCATACCGCCGAGAAAGTTGATTCTATTTGGTGGTCCAAAGAATTGCATCCTTTGATTTATTTCCCCGAGCTATCTTCTGCAAAAAAAAAAAAAGAAGGAAAGAAGGAAGAACAGAAAGGGTCCAGTCAACAGTCATTTCTTTCTCAAATTTCCAATAAATGAAATATCGTCTTCAGGCATCTATAGTGCAAATGGTAGGGAACAAGTCCAACTCACAAATGAGACTGTCCTCTTTCATAAACTAACGTAGGATTTACCATGTGTGAATTTAGACGCATACAGTACATTTGTATTTCGTTATCTCCAGTTATCCAAGATGGTGTACAATTTTTTCTTAAATAAAAGGGTCGAAATTTTGTCTGTCGTCAATTAGTAAAAGGGGGGGGAGAAAAGTATTTAATCATCGAACGCATTATTCACATGACGAATTATCTTACTGGCAACATGGTTCTTTGAGAATGGCTTTGTTACTTGATAAAAAAGAATGAATGTCAGGTGATCTTTTATGCCGACGCGTCCGCTTAACTTGTCACTATCCTTGTGCACCTCGCTACTTTCCCGTTTATTAGTTAGTAATTCATCGTGGCTGAGTGTTGAATGTTTTGATGGCTTAGTTATATGGCTATGAAAAGATCTTTTTGAATCGTCATTTACATAAACTTCGCTTCACCGTTACATAAGTACAACAGATAAGCCGTCATTATGATACTACTGTATATAGGTATTGAATTGAACTCTGAATTTTTGCACCCATGTTTCTAAGTGTTTTATACCAGTCGCGTTCTTACACAAAAACTGCGTAAAATGAATGTTCTACTCTTGACATCGAGTCACGAAAAAGAACTATAGAAAAATCAAAGTAAAATAATGCGCGAAATTTTTTTCTTTCCAATTCACATCATAATCACCCATTAAATGGTCCGAGCGAAATTTTTATAATTGCTAAAAAATCAAAAATATGTAGCATTTTAATGGCTCAATGGTCTAGTAGTATGATTCTCCGTTCGGGTCGGAGAGGTCCCGGGTTCAATTCCCGGTTGAGCCCATTCTTTTTATTTATTTTATTTATGCGTGAAAATCAAGTATTCTTGATGATGTAGGCACGTGGCTATGCCTAGTGGAATTTTTTTTTTCTTCTAGATGTAGAGGGTTTAAAAAGTCAATAATGATCCTTGTTCGAAAAAAAAAAAAAAAAAAAGGTTTACAGGATCATCCAAATCTTAAATATTATTCCTTCGACAACGGAGATGGTCGCACAAGGCTCTTGTTATTGTGTACAGTATCTCCGTAGATTTTACTACGTAATACTGTGTGCAAGAAAATCTACACCAAAATTTATAAAATAAAAAAAACTTGGTGATTATCGCATGATGGTTGATAACGCTAGGTGCGACTTCGTCGGGGGGGACAAGATATCCCTTACCAGTCCAGTTAATTGTCGAATGTTCTCACACGATAATCTACTATGTATTACTCTTTTATCATAAAGTAGTCATCATTCGATTAGGACACTCATCCATTCTCTGCATGCACAAAATGACAGGCGTCAATTTCCATTATCTAACAACAACTCATTTCGCAACTCGAAAAGCCGTTACAAAGTTGCTGAGATAACGTGGAGTTCTATGATAGGTGAATAGAAAAAACCACAAAATAAAACTGCCAAAAAGACACACACGCTTTGTCACAAACTTGATTTTATTTACGAAAAGCGAGAACACGATGGATCACAGGAGTCGTTGGATATTTCTTTAACCGTGGTGAAATTTAAGCGCGAACACGAACGAAAATTACTACGCCACATGTGTTACGTGAAATATCATTATACAAGATGCTCAACACAGTGACAACGAACGCGCGAAGCGAATATGTAAAAAAAAAAATGATGAAATTCACAATTTTCAATCAAATAATCAAGCTCTCGTGTTATTATTGGTCTTGGCTAATCACAAGTTCAACATCAAAAATTTACCCGCTATTTATGATATCAAATAAATCGATTATTGATTTTTTTAATTAATCTTACTGATCCTGAGAAGAAGGGTTGAATATATATTAACATTAATTCGCGTATGTCTCCTTGGGATACTTTCATCTATCTGCGTAAATAAAATGCCTTCAAACAGCTCGCCCCTTCCCAAATTATCATTCTTTGTAATAATACTATTATTTTTGTTTCCCACGGACGCCCGAGTCCATCCTACAACTACCTCTGCTGTCTTCACGACCACGAAATTCACCCCCCACTCAGGAACGACAAGTAAAATTTATACTCCTGCCGTTACACCTAAAACAAACCATCCCTCATCAAGCTTCTACTCCAAACCGATAACAACACTCGTCCAATCCTCGGCCATGGAACAGGCAAGCCTGGTGAATGCACTTAGCAATGAAGCTACGTTTGTTAACATTCAAACGATAATTCCCGGAAATCGTCCATTACCAAATGCCCGCATAAATCATATGACGCATACTTACCAAAGGGAGATTGTCACACCGGGGATGGGTTCCTCGGGAAACTCGATCGTGTTTGGAAGAGTTTGGAGTAGAAGGTTGAGCGCAGGCATTCTTGTTATTTGGATTTTGTTGTGCGGTGCGTTTTGGGAATAGAGGGATTCCGCTGCGAGGGTCGTACTGAAGTGGGTGAAAATGTCTACGTCGAATAAGCCGCTCTTATAAATGCAATTCCATTAATAAACGTCGATTTTTGATATTTGTTAATATAAGATTTTTTTAATTCAAAACAAGATAGTGTTTCTTTAATTTAATTGTAAAGAAACTTTTTTTTTCTACAATTGTAATTAGCTGCTGATTCAAGATTTATTATAAAAAATATACTGTACATACAGTCCATCGAATATTTGTAGATATGCTGTCACAAGATCTTTTAAAATACCATTTATAGTATTGTTAAGCCAAACCAAATCGTTTAATCAATAAAAATAAACTCGTTAACTTTTGACAAAGCAATTGAAACAGGTAAATATCGGGAATATGACGCAAAAACAAGTACGTATTGTATTTTTAAAAATAAACTGTATATATTTTTTATCGATTACTGTATATCAAAAAAGAAAATAAGATATTTAATAATAATAATAATATTATTATTATTATTAGAATAGAAATTAGCCCCGTAAACAGTAGTAGCGTGAACCAATAGATTTCTTTTATTATTATTATTTTTCTTCTTGT